GAGAGAGAGCGAGAGAGAGATTGTGTGTAGTGCTCAGCACCAGCCCTTGTCCACCTGTGTCTGTCTCACAGTTATCACTGAAGTGAAGGCCTGCGGATTCATTCATGGAATAGCTGACTCAGCCGCTGAATTCATTATGTTTTTCCATTTACATTAGCAGTTGCTGCTCAGGATTATTTAGTTGGATTCTCTGTGTAAACTAAACTAAACTTTAACATTAATGTAATAGTCAGGGAATTTTGGGGTTCTTTGTCTGTGCTGAGGGTAAAACTTGTATAAATTTTAATAGATTGTATGCTGCTCAGAAGTCAACTAACAGTATGCTCTGTTGAGCTGAGTTCAAGTGATTGCATTGGTGATTGAAGAATATCCCATTTTATTCCCTGAAAAACAGGTTGGGTTGCTTTTGGAGAATGCTATAGGCTATTGTTCAAAACCTGTCAGATCAATTTTAGAGTGTTTAAATTAATCTGAACATATTATAATCCTGTACACTTCAGAAGTCATCCTGTTTCTTTTATCACCAGACATAGGATCAATAAAAATTAGCGGTCCCGTCCCACTGGCAGCCATACATGCCCATAATATTACTTCATCATGTTTGACAGATAATGTGGTGTGCTTTGGTGTGCTCATGAGGTACTCATTTGCTTCTCAGTTTTCTCTTCCCATTATTCGGTAGAAGTAAATTTGGATTTCATCTGCCCAAATAATATTTTCCAGAATTGGGCAGGCCCTTTAAGTTATTTTGTGGCAAAATCTAATTTGATATTCCCTTTTTTTATGTGTAAAACAGTGGCTTGCACTTTATTGTAAATCCTCTGCAGAAAGTGATGTAACAATGATTTTGTGGTGGTCCAATGACCCAGTGTTTTGAGTTTTGTGGGTTCATGATTTATTTGTTTTTTAAAAGTGATGTTCTAGTTCTTTACTGTTTCATCCTTTGAGTACAGTTTTGTTTCCTAGCACTTCTGAGTTTTTTGCTATATGTTTCTGGTTCTATTGTCACAGTTCACACTGGCCAACTGTGGGTGTGTGGGGAAGGAAGACTCAAAATGCAGGACTCTGTGCGATGAATGCAGTGCGTTTATTTGCAGTGAAGTAAATAGTACGCAACAATAAATCCAACTCCCGTGCTGTGTTTCTTTCTAAGTGCTCGTGCTCCGTGTCCCCGCTCCCGTGAAACATTTGCTTGCTGCTCTCCTGTTCCCGCACTCCTGCTGGAAAATCCACAGAGGCAGCTGTTAACATACAACTAAACAGCAACAGACTAGCACTCACTGATTTTGCTGGAATCACTGACGGGTAGTCACTCAACGATCCAGCGTTGGAGAGAGCTCCACCACACTTTAAAGCGGCTCCTCCAACGAAGCTTGATCAGCTGTGTGATGGTCTTCAGGTGTGGCCAACCACCTGGCAGGGCCACACCCACCAGGCCTGAAGGTGCTCTCAGAAACACCGGCATCCACACACACCTGCCTATACACACGCACACCCACAAGCATGGAACACGAGAACACAGCACAGTGCAGCAAACAAACACCATATACTATAATAATAATAATGAGGATAATAATGGTCCACACTGCTCACGGACCCCGAGTCCCTATAGAACTGGGTCCGTGACAGTTATTCCTTGTTTGATGTTAGTTCCCTTTGGTGTTACTTGCCTGTTTCCCCAGTCATGTCCACACGTCTGTCTGATCTCTTTGAATTCGAT